CTCTCTCTCTCTCTCTCTCTCTCTCTCTTTCTCTCTCTCTCTCTCTCTCTCTCCCCCACCCCAACATATTTTAGTTGTAATTTTAAGTACACTAGACTATATTTTCGCCCAAGTGTTTCTAGAATTTCTAGAATAGAGACCGTCCATCCATGTTTTGTAATGTGCCAAGATAACCAATTTACAACATCTGTGCTAGTTGTAAATCATGCTAAAGAAAACTTTAGATTTACTTAAGATAATGAATTTATATGTATGTATGTATATATGCATGTATGTATGTATGCGTGCACGCACACGCACACACACACACTCCTTTTTAGTCCCACCATAATATGCTGCGCCTGGACCTATGTTAATTAAAAAGTAGAAGATTCTTGTGCAGGCAAGAAACAGCTTCTTTTAGGTTTTGATAATTTGGTTTGAAAACGATGGACTAGGGTCGAGGCCCAAGCCTAGGCCTGTTCAGTTTGGATAGGGTTATGGCTCATGGGCTTTGTATTTCTTATGGCGATTACTATCAGTCAATTAACAATTAAAAGAAGGGTTTTCTATTTACACCTGCATATTGGCTATGTGCACCCATATACATGGGTGTGCATAGCAAAAGAATGGGCGCAAATGGAGATCCCTTTGGTTTAACAATGGGATGAAATTTTGGGTATTCCAAGTAAAAGGTAAAACCTCGGTTGTTAACTTCTTGTGACTTGTTACTTGCTCAATTCAGTTACAATTTTGTATATTTTCTTTTGTGTGTTACTTTATTCTGGGAGTTTGAACTTTTGTTAAGTCCTATTGTCCCATGTCTTGTGAGCAGTTACCCTTTCCAATGGATTGTCTTTATGCAGACCCCAGCCGTGAGGTAATAATTTAGCAACTCAGATTTTTCTTCAGCTTTTCTTTCCCATTGGCAACAATTCATCATACATGCAATTTGTTTCAGGCATATCATGCTTTGGACCTGTACTATGGGTTGAGTCGCACATTCTTTAACCCTGCCAGTGTAAGTTTAAGTGCTCTACCTATGTTGTTTGATTTTCATATTTACTGTTGGAAATGAGATTTACAGTTACCTTTGATCTAAAAAACCTAGATATTGGAATACCTCATGGCTCACATTTTGAATCGGCTTTCTTTATTTTCAGGCCAAGGTATTCTCGAGGTGGGATTCTTTGCGAGAAGCTGTAAAAAATTACACTATCTCGGCAACACCTGAGGATAGCAGCAGTGTTTTGCAACAGGTCTGTGTGTGTGTGTGTGTGTGTGTTTGTGTTGGACACGCGGTGGGTGCATTACGCAAGCAGTTGTTCCAGTGACTTGTTTATTTGCATATGGTTTCAATTAGGTATGAGCGAAGCTGAAATTTAATAAGAAGTGCTGATTGTATTTTGTTTATGCTTCTTTTGTTAAGGGAGGGATGTTTGTCTTCAAGGGGATGCAGCTATTGTATGCCAGGAAAGATGAGGGAACAGGAGATCATGCTCCGTTGGATGAAGTCCTCAACATATGCTGCAGACCTTCCGTCGCGTAAATGGTGGAGAGCTCACAATCTATTCAAATACAGTCGGATTTCCACAATTATGTCTAATGGAGAATCTGCATGGGTCATGTATAATTACATAGTGGGTGCTTAATAATTAATATCCATCGTAGACACACTTTGTATTAAGTACTAGATAATATAAAATTTTAGAATATCTCCAATAATATATGGTAGACACACTTTGTATTAAGAAGGCATTTTTGTTGAGACTTAATCTATGGAAATTAAAATTGTTATATTCTATATAAAAATAAGGTCAAATTAGTATTGTTTTTAAAGAAATTCATAATTGTATATTTTTTAAATAGGAAACGCAAACCTAGAACGTATTTGAGAATTTAATGTATATTTTGGATAACCTAATGGTATATAAGGAAGGGAATCTCTAAGAACTACTAAATTGAAGAATAAACATATATAAGTCTTTGAAACCTGGTCTAAAGGACAATCAAGAACATTTTGATTCATGGATGTTGCCTTGCCTATTGGCCGAGGCAAGTTACTCAGGCGAGTCCGAGTAACTTGCTTGAGTCCATCCCAAGTTAAAAAAATAAAAATAATGACAAAAATAATAAATATATTATATGTAACCTCGCCATTTCTAACATCAAACGTAAAGCGGCATATTTGTCAGGTTCAATGCTCTTTGTATTCCCCTTTACATGAGGTCTTAGGTTTGACTTGCACCATGGCACTTTTTTGAACTACTCTTTTTTAAACCCGTAGGAAAAGAGCCTAGGCTTCATTGGTTAGCACTTGACGGTTTGCAACACTATGTCCTAGGCTCAATTCCTACCAAGGTAGGGGCCCTCTCCTCACTGACTCCCCCCCCCCCCTTCCCTTCCCTTCCCTTCCCTTCCCTTGCCTTCCCTTACCTTGTGTTTTAACTCTTCAAAAAGAGGCCCGTTTGAAAAACTAAATTAGGGTGGTGTTTGTAGGGGTATTTGAACACCCACAATGGCAAGCAAACGAGCATGTTACCAAGAAACTGTTGATTCGCTTTTGACTTTATGGACAAATTAATATACATATATATACTTGCATGGGTGTAGAGTTCACTCAGTTGAAACTCATTTCGCCCATAGGGTGAGAGGTCGAGTAACTCGGCCAAGTATCATCGTGGTACATACCTCTCACTTAGATATGATAACTATACACTACACGTTATAGTTAACGTGGCTAAGAAACAGTCTAAGACTTATCAACAAATTTACGATGTGTTATTGATGATAACTATACACTACACGTTGTAATTAACGTGGCTAAGAAACAGTCTAATAAATTATAATCTCGTTGTGTTTTCTTGATTTTGTATGTATTATTGTAGATTAGGAATTATGAATTGTGATGGAATAATGGTTGTTCCTACTATTTTCCATAAACTAGAGATTATAGAATTATTATTTGAAATTTTAACCTGTGAAATTATGGTAGACAATTATTAATCTTCTGTCTGTATTTGTAGAGTTGACATATTACTTTTGACAGAAATGGTGTATAGACCATGATTTGTATGTAAACTGCATTAGCTCCATTTCAAATGATTTTTACTGCATTATGTCATTTGTTTGTAAAACTAAAATTTAGAAAATCTCATCTGGTAGTACACCACCGGTGGCATTGACACTATATTGGCACTGATACTTGGTTTAGAGTAACATTGTTTATGGTTTAGCGACGTATGATTAGAATTAAAGTAAGCAACTGAACCGAACTGTGTATCTGAGGAGGCCACAGGAAGTGAAAGGAAGTACTTAATGAAAACTACTGAGAGTAATTAATTTGAATGACTTCTAGATCAGGGTGTTGAATACTGAGAATCAAAATCATGGTCTATATACCATTGTGAGAAATTTAAACTAGCATGATTTTTCAAGAAGGAACAATATTTCATAGTGATAGCATCACAAAGTTATCACTACAGAAATAATAAGATTTAACATTACCACTAGAGCAATAGCAAAGAAACTACTCCATAAGAATGGCATGTTAGGATGTTACCAAATGAGATCAATATGATTGTTTGGGAGCATCTGTTGCTATTTGAAGGTCCCACATCATCGACTGAGATGTAGGATAACTTGGGGAAGTCATGTAAAAGCTCATAATGTTGATAACCACGAAGAAGCATTCTTGCATCCACAATGTGATACACCATCATTTCTTTGTAAACCTAAGACTGTGATGAGATTTTGTAAGTATTTGAAAGTCACTTGTCTCCTGATCCTGTAAAAAGCCAGCAAACTATGAAGGACTTTATATGAATACTGCATCAAATATGTTATATGGATCTGCAGAGCTCATCAAGAAGCAACCAAACATAAACATTTTATTTGACCATATACCGCTGTTGAAAGCAAACAGCTATACATCAAGGTGTCATAAGGTGGTTAGTTGGGATCATAAAAACTGTATCATTATGATCCTTGTAAAGTAAGAACTTCAACCTGATATAACCACCATTTCTTTATTGTGAAAAGATCTGTAATGAACAAATTATTAGGGTCATGTGAACTTTATTGTGAAAAGATCTGTAATGAACAAATTATAAGGGTCATGTGAAATGTACACCTCTGCCTCAAGTGAATATTGTTCCATAACAATCAGTTGTAGAGAAATTTAGATATTTTATCAAGTATGATGGTTTGATACAGAGACCAGAGAATCTACAGTATGCATCGATGTGTATGGGCAAGTTGTAAGCAACAGAATGAATTCAGTAGATTACCATATTTGTCACATTTAATCAAGTTGTAAATGCTGTGCTTGAGTAAGAAGAGGCCGGCTTGGTTGTTCTAGAGTGTTGAATGATAGTTCAATCTCCATGATAGTTGAATAAGATTTCACTAGGACTAAACTTGCAATTTTAGAAATGTGCACATCAAGGCAATGGTTTACTTTTTTCCTTGATTTCAAATGCCCATACTTTGAATTGAAACAACGTCCATTTGCATATACATATCAAATGTAGCAATCAGTATTACCTACATGTCTCTTTCCTTCAAACCAATGTCCATGTCATCGGCTTCTTGCGATTGAATAGTCGCATCAAGATTTCCATACCAAATCTTTGTTACGGACATGTTGCTGCAGTTGGAAGAAAAGACTAGCCAAGAACAAGAATGCAAAGAACATACTTTTATTTCCATTATAGCATAGATTGAGGCAAATTCAGAGGATTAATGGCCCGGAAGAGTGCTAGCAAGAAGGAAAATGGCAAGCACATCCAGTAATTTACTTGTAATATAAGTTGCAAACCACCACCACGTCATCATCATCATCATTATCCAAGCGTAATCCGAACTATTTTTATTTGGCTACATAAATCGTGTTCCACCATTTTGCTCTACAAAAGCAATACAAGAAGGAAAATGGCAAGCACATCCAGTAATTTACTTGTAATATAAGTTGCAAACCACCACCACGTCATCATCATCATCATTATCCAAGCGTAATCGGAACTATTTTTATTTGGCTACATAAATCGTGTTCCACCATTTTGCTCTACAAAAGCAATACATTTAGTTAGACCATAACTCACAAACCAATGATCTAATTAAGTTCACTAGGAAAAGATGGATAACTATAGCCCTATCCCATTTTTGGGGGTTCTAGGGGCATTTATTTGGACTAGGCATGTGCTTTCTTGGACCTGGCAAGCAACAAGATTCAAAAAATAGAAAATAAAAACTAAAAAACTAAAAAATAGTTTCTTTTTAGGAGAGAATAATGCATTGAATACCAAGACATCTACATTACGAAAGAAAAAAAAACCCTGTTTGGATCCTTGGAATTTTCAATCTTGGAAAAAGTCAATCCCGAATTGAGATTTACTGGACATATCAATCCGTGTTTGCATTGCATCTAGTAGAAATCAAGAAAATGCAAATTCCCTGTTTGGATTATCTGGAATATCTTTTTCTTGGAAATGCAAATTCTCGCTCTAAAAATTTTGAGATAGTCTCTCTCTAAAACTTTCTCTAAAATCTTAACACACTTTCTTTCAAAAACTTAAAATTTTAAATAGTTTCTCTCTCTAAAAAATTTATATACTTTTTCTCTCTAAAATTTGATACAGTTTCTTTTTAAAATTTTGAGATAGTTTCTCTCTATAAAAATTTTAGATAGTTTCTCTTTCTAAGCAATTTCAAATAGTTTCTCTTTCTAAACAATTTTAGGTAGTTGCTCTCTCTAAAATATAATATAGTTTCTCTTTTTAAAATTTTAAGGTACTTTCTCTTTCTAAAACTTAAAATTTGAGATAGTTTCTTCTAAAAATTGTAAAAGTTTCTCTCTCTAAAAAATTTTAGGTACTTTCTCACTTAAATTAAAATTGTAAGATAGTTTCTCTCTCTAAAAAATTTTAGAAACTTTCTCACTCTAAATTTTGATATAGTTACTTTCTAAATTTTAAGATGTTTTCTTTCTCTCTAAAACTTAAATTTTGAGATAGATTCTCTCTTTAAAATTTCCAAGTAGTTTCTCTCTCTATAATTTTAATATACTTTCTCTCTAAAACATAAAATTTGAGACAGTTTCTCTATCTAAAAATTTTTAAATAGTTTCTCTCTCTAAAAATTTTAGGTACTTTCTCTATCTAAAATTTAATATAGTTTCTATTTCTAAAGTTTTAAGATATTTTCTCTCTCTAAAACTTAAAATTTACGATAGTTTATCTCTCTAAACTTTTTTGGCAGTTTCTCCGTCTAAAATTTGATATAGTTTCTAATCTCTAAGATTTTAATATGCTCTCTCTAAAACTTAAAATTTGAGGTAATTTCTCTATAAATATTTTGAGATATTTCTCTCTAAAAAAATTTAGGTAGTTCCTTTCTCTAAAATTTAATGTAGTTTCTCTCTCTAAAATTTTAATATGGTATCCTTAAAACTTTAAATTTAAGATAATTTCTCTCTCTAAATATTTGAGATAGAGAAAATACACAAATTTTTGTATTGAGCGAAACTCTTTAAAAAATTCCGTATACTTTCTCTCTCTAAGAGTTTCCCTCTCTATAATTTTAATATGTTTTCTCTCTTTAAAATTTGATATAGTTTCTCCTAATAGTTTCCCTCTCTAAAATTTTAATATGTTTTTTCTCTTTAAAAATTGATATAGTTTCTCTTTCTAAAATTTTGATATTTTTTTTTTGTTCTTCAATAGCAATATGGATCATTTTCATGAAATGTCAA